ACAAAGGAGAAGCTTGTACCGTCCACCACTACTGCTTGGCATCGGTGGCTGAGGAAGCTAGAGATCCATGTTTTAGTGGTGCCTTGGATTCCACATCTCTTTAGTGTGTGTAGAAGCAAACTATGATGGACACGGTCAAATGCCTTTGCTAAGTCCATCTCCAGCACGTCAGTTTGCTTGTGGTTCTCAAGATTGGTCATCAAGTCTTCTACAAATTCAAGGACTGGGTCTCCCGTGATCATTGTATTAGAGCTATCAGCCACTCACAACCAACTTACATCAGGGAAAAACATATTTCTACTTCTGCATCAACAAACTGACGAAAAATCTCATTAAATATTTTCAAAATTAACTCTTAATTAAGGCAAGATGTTTCAGAAATTATCGAAAGATACATTTTTTATCATTTTCATCTTTAAATATTCTTCGAGGGATACGCATAACACAATGAAAGATCATGACAATAGGTCTTTAAATGTGTATGAACCCTAATTCATTCATTATGCTCTATAAAAGATTTTGAAATTTTACAGAAATATATGACAAAAAGAAAAAAAAAGGAAAGAAAAAACCCTTCACTAATTATTTGCGATGTAGAAAATGCTAATGTGTCTGGCGAATACATTAAATGACTTCATGACAGTCAAATATAAAGGACATAACTGCAATGAATCTTAAGTAGATTTAGAATGCATAACCAATTAGAAGCAAAACCAATCAAGATTCGTTAAAGTAATTATCACTTTAGTGAAAGGTCCATGTTCAAACGTTTGGTACCTTGAATCTATTCGGTATTAGCAAAATTCACAGTTAAACAGAGCTGTAACTTCATTTCCTCTTTGATTTACCTGACACCTACGACGAACATTTCCATTCTTTTCTTGTCTTTTCAGTTGTTTTAAAGTACGTGTTAACTTTATTAACTTTCATTTCCTTTTATGACATAGTTTGGAGATTAGATTAAATTAATTTAAATTCATGGAGTTTTTGTTTTTACTGATGAAGGGATTTACTGAAACGCTTTGATTTGTCTGTTGTTCTTTAATTAAAGCATGCTCTACATTAAATGGAGACACTGTTTGTGTCTCTCAATAATCACGAAAGTTACATTTTTGGGTGGGAGGGGTGATGATCGAAAAACAATAATTCATCTGTTATTTGTTATGTACTGAGCCATTGATTAAATGCCTTCAGCGAAAATATATGATTTTAACTATTTTCTTGCTTTGAAAGAGTAATTGTAATATTTACTTTCTCATCTTTTTAGATCTGCCCCCTTGCTATTCTTTAAAGTTGTGTTTAGCGAACAGAGTAAAAACCAAGAGATAATGAGACCAGAGGCGTCAAAAGGGTTGCTGTCACCCGTGGTGGTCAAATCATTGTGCCATCCCACGGACACCCCCCCCCCCCCATTTCCCTTGACCTGCACCTAGTAATTCTTAACCAGATCTTTAAGAAGAATTGTTTAACGAACAAAGTAAAAACCAAGAGATAATGAGACCAGAGGCGTCAAAAGGGTTGCTGGCACCCGTGGTGGTCAAATCATTGTGCCATCCCACGGACCCCCCCCCCCCCCCATTTCCCTTGACCTGCACCTAGTAATTCTTAACCAGATCTTTAAGAAGAATCGCTTATAGCATCGCTTATAAATTAAGCCCTAAAGAAAAAAAGAACAAAAGAAAACATAAAATGCTCGGTAAGAAAGCTAATCAAATAAAAGAATCTAGCGGCTATTGTCAAGTCTTGCTTGTGTGCGTTTTATTAAAAGCCTATCAAATGATAATTAGCTGCAGATTAATATAATTACCGTTTTAAAATATTATTTGTTTCAATGTTACGTTAGTTAAGCTTATGTTTTTAACAATTTACAATGGCACGATTTGGTAAAGTGCAGATGATTCTTAACATAAATTTCCAAGACAAGAAAATGACTGATAAACTGGATCAAAAACGTGTTACAGTTAAAGTATTTATAGCAACAAGTGGACATGTCTTAGTGTTCTCATCAGTGGTTCTAATTATAAAAAAAACAACAACATTAAGTAAAAAGAAATATTCTTCTTTTTAAAATTGATTTACCCCCACATTAATTTCATTCTGTTATTTATTAAGTGGATTGGTATGGTAACATCTATTATCTTTTATTTAATGCTAGTATTGTGTTTAATAAACATCAATTGCTCATGATTATCAGATATTGAAAGAAATATGAAATTATATAATTCTACTTATACGTCACACTTCGCTGGTTCTATTCAAGTAGAATAACTATTAAGTGCACATGTTCAAATTTTAATGATATTTTTATCGCTTTTAGGTGAAAGGTATGTTAATTTCAACCCCACCCCCCTTTTCTTCCAATCGATTTTGATGCAGTTTACTAGCTATGACTAATATTGAAAGCGGATGCCACGTAGATTGTGGGATAACCAGAATTATAAAATAATCTGAGAACTATTTTAGCATAACTTTAAGCGTGTGCTTAGTGGGGTTCAATTAATTTGATCACAATACATTTCCTGACACAACACAGACGTGGGGTAAACACCCCCTTCCCCCCTCCTCCCCCCTCCCCCCAAATGAAATTTAAATCTGTATCTCGATATCTCGAACACTATCAGTCTAAAATCTATCTTTTGACCAACTTCACTATAGATAGAGTACTGATATGCTGCAAAGACGTTGACTTAAATTTTAATGTTTAGTGGTTTAGCTAGAGTTTTTAAACATTTATTTTTAACTGAAGTTATTTTCACTGAGGGTATTTTTAATTGAAGGAATTTTTAACTGAAGGTATTTAACTAAAGGCATTTTTAACTGAAGTAAATTTTAACTGAATATATTTTGACGCAGATTAATTTAAATTTTCCCTTGACATCTAGCCAATGGCGTAGCTACTGCGGGACACCATCTCAGGGAGGTGACACCCAGTAAAGCAATTGCATATTTACAGAGCACACACACTGCTTGGTCTAACCTAATTTTATAAAAGGATAACCGATCACACGTACATTATCCACACATGTCACCAATCCAAATGCGTGCTTTATTAAAAGTTCAAGGTTGATGCGTCAGAAATGAGGTAACCCTATACTTATGTCAGAAAAGCACCATCTTGACCATGATTTAACTTTCAGTAACTTTCGTAAGTGACAGAAATTTATATTTATCCGAATTCTGAGATATGAAGCTTTCCAATGATACCAAATACGATGCGGTCGGGCGATCCTAAGTACAACTTACAGTTATTAAATACATTTACCTCATGACTTTCATTTAATTTTTTATTGTTCTTGTCATTGTTATGCTGTGGACTTATTTTAACAAGAAGAAATCCATCGTGGAAGTCGGGGGAAAAGTGGGTGAGGTGTGTCACATCATGATTTTATCGCGCTGAGTGACACTAACCCTTGCTACGCCCCAACGTCAAAAGCCACTATCGCAAACTATGACAATGTACAGAAGAAATTATTCTATTTCGAGCAATGTTTACAAATGAATATTTAAAAAAATGAAAGCAAAGTTCAATGAACCCTCTTTCTTGTAGAAGCAGTGTAATATATCAAGATAACTCTCAAGTAGATTTAGCTAAACAGTCAATCACGGTTTAACAATTCTGTGCTTTGATGACAATCATGTATAAGGTTTATTTTTAGAAAGCAAATTAATGCAGTGGTTTATACTTAGGCAGTCCCGAGCTTGCGTACTGGAGTTCAATCCCCAGCCAAAGCCAAGACAAGCAAAAACATCACCAGCACCCCGGGTGGATGGGAGTCGTTAAGTATGGATGGCAACTCATCTAAGAGAGAACAAACTTTGAAATTAAACCCAGAGATGGAGTCCCGTAGGCGCTATGACATTGTCCAGCAATGTGGAACGCATAAGTGCACAGTAAGCGACAAGAAATATGGCTGCTCATTCACTGCATCCTGGTCTATTTCTCATCGCCTTGACCAGGCCTTGCCGCTAGAACAAATAGGCAAGGCAAGAAGGTGAGGCTGATGAAATAAGCAACTCTGCCTCATTTTAAACAAACTGCAGCTCACGTACAGGCTACTTGTTACTACACAAGTCAAAGCCCTGGTCATCTTCTTTTGCCAAGGACAAACAATAAAAATATGAATTAAATACATAATAAGAATCGGGTTTTTTCTGACATGGAATCCGCGAGTTTTTTCCCGGTAAACTGTTATCACCCCATCTTTATGAAATCTTACTATTTTATAGTACAGCCTTGACAAATTTAATATTGATATATTGCCATTTTACAGACACGTTGGAAAAAATTACAGGGCTATACAAACATTATGAAAGCAATTTTACAGATTACAGGGGGTCTAATATATTTAGCATATGGTTTATCTGTTTCAGACTATGGAATAAAAAAAAACAACATTATGTCCATTTCGTTATAAAGGCCATTTGTTAACATAATCTGAATAGAATTCCACGAATGATTTAATTGATTCAGATAATGTAATTCTCATTATATGAAAATTAACTACGGCGATCAATTTCAGAACCGTTGTTTTATTAGGAATATCTTAGGACGATGGTATCAACAATAACATACAAGTTTCCGAAGGCCCCAAAAAATTCTTATTTCAGACATGCATCAAACCACAGTGGTAGATTTAAAGTAATACAAAAGGAGGTCATGTTTTTCCATATATTCCTAAAGGTGGAATATTTATTTTTACACATTTTAAATACATGTAGAGATTGATTTAACGTACACTTTTTCCCCATTAATAATATGTTAACTAGTCAAAATAAAATGTAACAGATATTTGTGTGACAGATCTTATCTCATCTCTCAATTCAATCAACACACGACGTGTCTCTGCTCTTGCTAGTATGTGTGCCTTTCTAATATCTTTAATTAGGTTTACATTGGGTGGGGGGTGGGGGGGGGGCTATGCTGCTCATGTCGAGACTTCTTTTTGTTTGTTTTGTAACGCGTCGTAGGAGTATAAAACATTCTTCTAATATCTTTAATTAGGTTTACATTGGGTGGGGGGTGGGGGGGGGGCTATGCTGCTCATGTCGAGACTTCTTTTTGTTTGTTCTGTAACGCGACGTAGGAGTATAAAACATTCTTCTGTGGCTGCATCATGAATTTAGCTGAGTAATTTGAAATCTTAACAATCTAACTCCAAATGTTTTTCACAGTTTTATGCAGCTTGATAGCTTATTCATATGCAGGTAAGCATTATAATTTTTTTTTTATTCTGTGAAGACAAATTTGGTTTGAAAAACATAAAATGATGAGTCGCGTGAGGATAGTAGACATATATTTGTGCGCATTAGTTGACATCAAGTACTGATCTTATAGTAACGGCGCAAAAAAGTCTTAGTACTTGAAGTACGTTGTTTAAAAAAAAAAATTAAGCTTTGTTTCTAGGTGTATATTGTTGGATACATTGATACACTATTTGTGGAAATACTTACTTTTGTGCTTGATCTTGCGTTTTAAAAGTTGACCCGAGTTGACCTAAATGAAGAATTACAATATCTGTAATCAAATGAACGTATCAAGCACAAAAGTAAGTAAGTAGCAATATCTGTAATATTTGCTGGAGAATGCCTGACAGAATATATGTTCTTACTTTTATTGACTTGTTTATTTCCAGCACCAAGAACTTGTCATGGTGACATAATGCAGCTGCACCCTACAGGGAAACATACAGGAGGTGACACGGATAATTAAAATATATAATATATATATACAACATTATATTGATTTTCTTGATTTATAACAACATGTTGATATTTTGATTTATAACAGCATGTTGATCTTCTTAAATTTAGCAACATGTTGAGCTTTCTGATTTAAAAATAACCTGTTGATCTACCTTGTTTATATATATAACCAAGGGGACAACAGTGATATTATGATATAATGTTCATTTTAGTGACAAATAGAAATTATGATAAAAATGCCAAAGTGTAACATGCATGTCTAGTCTAGTCAGAACTTTAAAGAGAGTGTTATTGGTGCCCAAGCCTGGAAAATAACTTAAGGGAGGAGCATGGAGTTATAAAGAGGAACACATTTAGGATATACAAAACTATTGACCCAATTTTCCAATGAAATTATTATAATTGACCCATTAATTGCCTGCCCTCGTGCTAATAACCTATATTACTTTACCGTTTGCCAGGCGTCGCTGCTTCAAATGCTGAAATACAACACGATCTCCCAGCGTTAAACAACCATAAACACTGTTACCAGGCAACTGCTGACACTAACTGTAAGTAATTAATTTTGATTTTAAATGACAAAAAAAATGTTTAAAGAAAAAAAAATCCTTTAAAAAAAGAGTTACTTTAAAGCTATTTTAAAAAACAACAACAAAAAAGCAGTTATGTTCTATGTATAAAATGTTTTTATTAAATTTGTTGTTTTAAAAAGTTAATAGTTAAAAATGATGAAATGGACCAAGAGTTGGAAATATTTTTTTTTTTAAAGGGTAAGACCCATGATGATGGGACAGAGACAAGACTCTTATGAGTCCGAATCTGGTGTAGGAGCGTGATGATGATGATTGAGTACTTTTAAAGCGCTCGTGTCCATGCTATTTTAGCATGCTCACAGCGCTCCAATGTCCTAAAATCTATTTAAAGGAAAACTTCTTTAAATGGTTCTTAAATGACTTTTTATAATTTTCCTTGTTCCCCAAAGATTGAGACAAACTGTTCCACAATTTAGGTGCAATAGCCTCAAAAGAGCGCCCCCCTTATGACTTCTTTCTCTGTGTCCATCCACATTTGGGAACTCTCAGTAAGGACTGTGTTGAACAGCGTAGGTTCTGTATGGATACATTTTTAGAAATAATTTTTTGAAGATAACTAACAAGAAGCCAATGGAGATCTTTAAGAACTGGGGTTTTCTTTGTACGCGATACAATGCGTGCTGCAGTATTTTGTACCTTCTGGAGTCTCTGAATTTTGAGGAAAACACCACAGACAACTGTTCTAGTAATCTAATCTTGATTAGATTAGAGTTACTGCTACGGCATTGGCTGTTCTCTTATTGGGTTGAGGACGCAGCTGACCCAGAGCACGAAGATGACAGAAACAAGTCCTGACCACAGAATTGATATGAGGGATCATAGTAAGTTTGCTGTCAGTGTAGAGGCCAAAGTCTCTAACCGTAAATGCATGTTTTGTCAAATTTTCAGCCCCATCAACCATGTCTCGATATTACATTTTATAAAAGATTTAAGGTGCTGGGTGGCCGAATGCTCTAAACTGAGCTTGTCTCAAGTTGGTGGTCTGGAGATCAATTCCAGCCCAGTCAAGCAAAAACATCACCAACAGATGGGACTCGTGAATCTTGCACTGCAACTCATCTAAGAGAAGGAAACTCTGAATTCAAACCTGGAGATGGAGACCCGTAGGCGGATAACATTGGTATAATGAAACATTCCGACAACTCCTGCGACGCCACTGGCGCCAAGATGTATCATCCACATGATGCACCCTTGGGTTATCCAGCGGCGTGGAGAGAGGCGATTTGCTGTTCGAAACCAGCTTATAATCCTAGAAGGCCTTGTGGATTTTGACCTGCGAAGTCCACACCATCGTCACACTGTGACGGACGGATGCTGGCAAAAAACGAAAAACTTTATTTTTAGGGGTTTGTAAATTTATTCACAATTGTTAAATTGGTGGTATATTAATTATCACGCCAATTGTACTACACAACTTACAAGTAACGGAGAATTGATTATCGCAAACGTGTTATACATTTCTCGGTACAGGTATCCAAGCTTCAGTAATTGCAGCCATTGCCAGTAGGGAATCCAGAGGCGGAAGTCTTCTAGTTAGTACTGGAGGTTACGGTGATCATGGAGCAGCCTGGGGTATTATGCAGGTGAGGTTGGCTAAACAAACTAATTAAACATAAGTTTTGATTAGTTTGTTAAAATTAAAAATAGGCTTTGACTATCATGTTCTCATTGAACATGACCTTAAATTGGCTGGTTGAGATCAAACATTATCTCTGATTATCTGGCCAAAAACGGTTTCTATTTACGCTTTCATGATAACTTGAGCAAGTCAATAACTAAAAACTTAATGAGCAACAAATGTTAAAGTCTGAATATTTATTTGAAATGTGTTAGTGTGACATCACTCACTCCGGTCTGCCTTGTAAGTCCGTGCCTTGGGACAGCTGCGCTCATATTGAGATGATGGTTCACCGACTCCTGGTACCCTACATCAACCAGGTTAGTTAACAACAAGTAGTAAAGCATAACAGGTATTTTTAACTTTAAAAATAGTTTAGCTTTCCGAAGATTTTGCAGCCACAAAACGAAGTTAATATAAATAATTTACAACTTCGTTCGATGTGTCTATACTAAAATCACAAGATGCCCTCATTGTTTCTTCTAGACAAAATTGTTCCAGTGGGCCCATTGTGGTCATTTCAATTGTTAGGATGGGCAGTGCTTTTTGTGTAGGAAGGGTGGATAGTGGGGGCGGTCCGCCCCCGGGGACATGTCTTTGAATTTATAGAGGGGAGACATTTTAGCCAAAAGTCTTAGCCAGTCTAGAGCGGAAATTTCTAAGTTAGTATTACCATTTTACAATATTCTGTTTTGGCCGGGGGCACTAAATTCATTTTTAGCTTATAAGAGCTATACAAATATAATTTCCGTATGCGTCCCAGTACCACAAAACTTTGATGAGTGTTGAGCGCACGCTCGCCAAGGTTTCTGAATTAGTACAACCACTTTACTATATGCCGTTTGGGGCAGGGGGTCCTAAATTCGTTTTTCTAATATGAGCTATATAAATATAATTTCAAACAGAGTTACTGCATTGGTGGATGATATTTTAATTAAAAACAAATACCGAAATAACAGTTTGTGTGTGACATAATAAGTAGGTTTCTGAATTTAGTACAACCATTTTAAAATATTCCATTTGGGGCTGGGGCCCTAAATTAGTCTTTTAAAAATTATATGAGCTGTATAAAAAGTAATTTCAAACACAGCTGCTGCATGGGTGGATCAATCGTTACAAGTTTGTGGTCTGACTTTTATAAAATCCTTGTTTCTCACATGGACAGCTGTATGTGGCCTGCTCACGTGGACAGCTGTGTGTGGCCTGCTCACGTGGACAGCTGTGCGTGGCCTGCTCACGTGGACACCTGTGCGTGGCCTGCTCACGTGGACACCTGTGCGTGGCCTGCTCACGTGGACACCTGTGCGTGGCCTGCTCATGTGAACAGCTGTGCGTGGCCTGCTCACGTGGACAGCTGTGCGTCGCCTGCTCACGTCTGTGCGTGGCCTGCTCACGTGGACACCTGTTCGTGGCCTGCTCACGTGGACAGCTGTGCGTGGCCTGCTCATGTGGACAGCTGTGCGTGGCCTGCTCACGTGGACAGCTGTGCGTGGCCTGCTCACGTGGACTGCTGTGCGTGGCCTGCTCACGTGGCCAGCTGTGCGTGGCCTGCTCACGTGGCCAGCTGTAGGTGACCTGCTCACGTGGCCAGCTGTAGGTGACCTGCTCACGTGGCCAGCTGTAGGTTGCCTGCTCACGTGGACAGCTGTAGGTGACCTGCTCGCGTTGACAGCTGTAGTTGGCCTGCTCACGTGGACAGCTGTATGTGGCCTGCTCACGTGGACAGCTGTGTGTGGCCTGCTCACGTGGACAGCTGTGTGTGGCCTGCTCACATGGACAGCTGTGTGTGGCTTGCTCACATGGACAGCTGTATGTTGCCTGCTCACAGATAGAAAAACCTTCTAATTTATTCGTATACGCACCATACAGAAAAACAATAAAACATTGTCAATATGAAAAGTTCTTCAAAAACATTATTCAAACGCAATTCCTTTCTTTCTTAAGTGGCGTTGCAAATCATGCGGGTTCCCGCTAGTTTAAAAATAATAAAATAAAAATGTTAATTTTTTAACATTATTTTTCAACATAATATTTTGTATTTATTTTTTATCCCTTTTTCTCCGGAGTGGGTGAGGACGTTCTCCGTAGTGGGGTAGTTGACTTTATCCGGAGTGGGGTAGTTGACTTTATCCGGAGTGGGGCAGTTGACTTTCTCCGGAGTGGGGGGCGTTGACTTGCAGATCCCACCATACCGGTGAGATGTCTCAATGAAACACTGTAAGCAATCAATCTATAAGAAGTACACATGTATGTGAACAACCGGAAGTAGTGTTGCGGCTTAACCTTGAAGCTGGGTGCAGCCTATTTTTGTAAAAGAATACGGTATATATTTAGAAGCTAATTCTGTATCTAGATTTGTGTAAAATATTCGAATTGTCAAACATACAGAGCGTGTCAATATCTTATAGATTTATTCTAATTCACTAATTTATTAAAAGAGTTATACAAAATTAAATGACAATTTATTAGTTTTTTTTTAAATATAATTTATATTTTATTATAGTACCCATTTTTCTCCGACTTGACTCCCCCACTCCCAAGTGAAGCTTGAAAGAAACAATGGGCGCCCTTCTAAACATTAAAACAAAACAACAACTGATTCACTGCCTTAGAAAGTTTCATTCCAATTGGCCAAGAAAATAGCGTAAACTTTCTGAAAACTCTATTTACCCATACAAAAATACCATATTTTAAGTTATTTATTAGTTTAATATGCCTACTTAAATAATAGTCTGTTGCCTACTTGAAAGTTAGTTTCAAATTGCGATGTCCCATTAAACACTTTGGTAATTTTCTCAGGTACATGCTAAACATCCCAGCTGGACCCAACATCAAGCACTTCAAGGTATTATACGTTATAGTATTTATTACAAAATATACCATATCAAATACTATTGCAAGATTAAGAGGATCCTGTTTTTAAAGACCGTTAAGTTTAAGCTATCGATGCAACTTCTTTTCGCTTATGATTTAGAATGACATGACTATCGGCTAGAATTATAACATTATCAATGTCCACGACCAGGTGCTGTTGCTGCCTACAACTCCGGTGTAAGCAACGTTCAGACTTGGGGTGGCCTTGACATCGGAACCACCGGCAATGACTACAGCAATGACGTCATCGCCAGAGCTAAGTGGCTTCACGGTCAAGGCTGGAACTAAACTCTCTTCTTGAAAAAGAATTGAAAAATTACATAAAACCATTTTTAATAAAATTAAAATGAACTGAAGATAGTTTTTAAAATATGTAAATTAACGCTAGAATGGATTTCCTGGCGGGGTCATAAAGGGTTATGAAGCGAACAATAAAATTTTTGACCTGGCGAAAGAGTCGTAACTCGGTTAAAATCAGCATTACTTTTGCTCCTGAGTTAAAGAACTTTACAGAACTTGGTTTTTTCAACATCGATTTGTCTTAACATACTTTTATTTTAAGGCAACGAAAAAATGAGAGCCGTTGTTCATCCGTCATAGGTTGAAAGCTTGGGCTGTGATACCGCATCGTATCAGATTCAATACAACTTACAATACCAAACATAATTAAACGAACCCTCAAATCAAAGATTTGCGTATAAATCCTGAATGTATCATTGTTGTTTCCATTTACGAACTTGTACCTGATTTTTTTGATTGTAGCAACGGATTTTTGGTAAGGAATGTTTTAAAAATAAATCAATATTAGTGCACGAAAAACTTAATACAGTAAAGATCAATTGGAAGACAAACATGCCACCAATACAAAGCATAGAGCCACAGCTGCACAATTATAAAGAGCCACAGCTACACATATACACAGAGCCACAGCTGCACAATTACACAGAGCCACAGCTGCACAATTACACAGAGTCACAGCCGCACAATTACACAGAGCCACAGCCGCACAATTACACAGAGCCACAGCTACACAATTACACAGAGCCACAGCTACACAATTACACATAGTCACAGCTGCACAATTACACAGAGCCGCAGCTACACAATTACACAGAGCCACAGCTACACAATTACACAGAACCACAGCTACACAATTACAAAGAGCCACAGCTGCACAATTACACAGAGCCACAGCTGCACAATTACACATAGCCACAGCTACACAATTACACAGAGCAACAGCTACACAATTACACAGAGCCACAGCTACACAATTACACAGAGCCACAGCTACACAATTAATCTCCTAACGCTAAATACGCAACCATTGAAAACATCATTAACATTCTTTCCTTTGTTGAACAACGGATATTGGGGTTTGGGAGTGGGGTTTAATATTGGATCAAATTATGTGTAGTCATTGGCAACGAGTCGATGTGCAAATATTGATCAAATGTGTAGTCATTGGCAACGAGTCGATGTGCAAATATTGATCAAATGTGTAATCATTGGCAACGAGTCGATGTGCAAATATTGATCAAATGTGTAATCATTGGCAACGAGTTGATGTGCAAAGGTTTAGTTCGATATGATAACGGGGATGGGTTCCATTAGTTTCCCCTCCGAAAAACAGATTTTTTTGAGGCTTGAGGTAGGGTCCGCTGAAAATTTGAAAGAATGTGTTGTATTGGCAAGAAGTCTAAATGCCAAGTTTCAGCTTGATAGAATAATGAAAAGTGGGTCACTTTGCCTTCCGAATATTTTTCCACAAAGCACCACAAAAGCGATATTAAAATTAAGGAATTTCAAAGATTCTAAATAACGGCTCAAAAATGTTCAGCAAGAATGGCCACAGTAACATCGCTACATCTTGTTACTTAGAACCTTTAACCTTACTTCCCCCACCCCTTCGAAACAAATAATAGAAAACACAAGATACGGTTTTAAAAAGAAATTTGATTAATTTGCGCACCAAATTTCCCTGCGTCCATATTTAGCTGACATTTTGCACAGCGCGCTGCACACAAATTTTCTTGTCTAGTCTAATTGGATTTTTTTCTATGCACATTTTCCTGTGACGTCATGTAGTAGGTTATTTTTAAACAAATAACAAATACAAAATAACGCCATATTTTGACAAGACAAAAACTGGAGACAAAGTTTCACGTGTAGTGTTGAGTAACGTCAAATTAAAATGGCTTCGTTTAAATCTTCTAAAAGCAATTTCTCTGAAATGAAGTTGTTGAAAGAGATCATTCAAGGAGAGAACGACAAACCCAGTGAGTAGATTTTTTTTTTACAGAGAAAGTAATCGTGTGGGCATGTAATATTAGATAATTCTTTTTGCTACTTTCACTTTATCTCATTTTAGCATTGATTTTATTGTGTTGCTGATCATTTAAAAATTAGATAAATATGTGATTAAAGAAAAAACTTTCTGGGGGGGGGGGGGGCAAAAAAAATCGATTAACTTTCCAGGGCGGGGCCAACATTTTTTAGTAATGTTTTAATATAGTTTTAATTTGCTGTAGCGTATTTGTATGGTGAACGAACGGACAGGACATCAGCTTAGTTACTTTCTCTTTATTTTCTCTTTACTTTAATATTTTTTTTGTCTTATTTTGTCTAAATTTTTTTATCCAATCAATCCAGGGGGGGGGGCGCAAGTGCTCCCCCCCCGGCGGGCACCCATGCACCCAGCATACATTTAAATTAATGGTTTTATGTACCCAGCATACATTTAAATTAATGGTGTTATGCACCGAGCATGCATTTAAATTAATGGTGTTAGGCATCTAGCATACATTTAAATTAATGGTGTTATGCACCTAGCATACATTTATATTAAGGCTGTCATGCAGCTAGCATACATTTAAATAAATGGTGTCATGCACCTAGCATACATTTAAATAAATGGTGTCATGCACCTAGCATACATTTAAATAAATGGTGTCATGCAGCTAGCATACATTTAAATAAATGGTGTCATGCACCTAGCACACATTGTAAAATATTTAATGGTAGATGGGCCACACAAAAATAAAGTAATTCTTTACAATGTTTTAGGTATTTAAATTAATGGTCAAGATAGGGATATATTTATTCATTGAACTTATTCCATTAACACTATTCACCTTTTTCTATTTCTTATACCGGGGAAGCGTTTCGCTTAGGGTCAGTTTGATATGTTTGCCACAATGTTTGAGACCTGCTAAAATTGCATGTTGTTGTTATGGAGGGTGTACTTAACATATTAATTTGTCTCATTTTCTGAAAAAAATTGAGGAACCCAAATTTGATTTGAAATTCTAAACGTGTATAATCTGAAACTGACATCTAGATTGACACAATAGAGGCTTCCCAGGAAATCTAGTTTGACACAATAGAGGCTTCCCAGGATATCTAGATTGACACAATAGAGGCTTCCCAAGACATCTAGATTGACACAATAGAGGCTTCCCAGGACATCTAGATTGACACAATAGAGGCTTCCCAGAACATCTAGATTGACACAATAGAGGCTTCCCAGGACATCTAGATTGACACAATAGAGGCTTCCCAGGACATCTAGATTGACACAATAGAGGCTTCCCAGGACATCTAGATTGACACAATAGAGGCTTCCCAGGACATCTAGATGAAACATTTCCTGTCAATATTATGTATAACTTCAAAGCGCAACATCACACAACCTATAAATGTACTCTCACATTTCAATGTACATATACCATGCCACTGTACACACATATGTGGACTGCCATGCCATTGCACACACAACCTGTAAATGTACCCTCACATTTTAATGTGCACATACCATGCCACTGTACACACAACCTGTAAATGTACCTTAACATTTTAATGTGCAAATACCATGCCACTGTACACACAACCTGTAAATGTACCCTCACATTTTAATGTGCACATACCATGCAACTGTACACACAACGTGTAAACGTACCCTCACATTTTAATGCGCACATACCATGCCACTTTACACACAACCTGCAAATGTACCCTAACATTTTAATGTGCACATACCATGCCACTTTACACACAACCTGTAAATATACTCTAACGTTTCTATGTGCACCTACCATGCCACTGTACACACAACTTGTGCACATAATATGCCACTGTATACCCACCATGTCACTGTGAACACCCTGGACTCTACACATAAGATTCTTTGTAAGATTCTTTATTGATCAAAACTAATGGAAATGTTTTTTGAATGCACTGTGCATTGTACATTTTCAGCACATAAATAAAACAATTTGAACACAAGACATTTAAATTAAATTATTTCACTCGGGAAAAAAGACCATTCAGTGAATTCTCTTAGCCATATCAGGGACTTATTATTTCTCATTAAAATTTGTGACTTCGTGGGGAGCACGCTGTTAAATTCGTACAGATTGTGGAACAAAGAATATTATATTTTTCAAATGTATCATTCAAAATTTGTTTAGTTTTACATCTTTCATCAAATAGTTCTTCAAGTGAAGGACATTTAGTTTGTATTATGTTCCAAGCTTTTTCTGATTAGTTTGTTTATTGGGTGTTTAATATCAGACGTTGAATTCCCACACCAGCAGGTAACACTGAAATTAAGCTGGCTTCCAATTGTTGCACTGTTGGATAAGATAACGACTTGTTTGTTTACGCCGAAATTGTACAGTTTTTTGAGATAGAACAGTCTTTGGTTGAATTTCTTTACAGAATTGCCGTGCTCATGCCATGTTAGCTTATTATTAATGGTAACATCTAAGTACTTATATGCCTCTACATCTAAGTACTTATATGCCTCTACTTTCTTTACACTTTGATTTTTTATGTTGAGATCTGTAATCTGGTGTTTCCCCCTCCTGAAATCAACAATCATTTCCTTTGTTTTTTGAGACATTCAACTGGGAGAAAATTTTCAAAGCACCTATTGAAAAAGCTTGTAACTAAGTTGTGGTATATGCCTTCTCCTTCAGATATTAAGCCAACATTGGTTGTACCTTCAACAAATTTTAAGATTGGGAAGGTGTCACTTGGGCTCTGAAATTCTTTTGTATATGTGGTATACAATACAGGAGAGAGAACGCAGCCTTGTAACTGAACAAACATAATGTTCTTAGTACACACATAATGTCATTGTACCCCTAAATTGTAACTGTACACAAACACTGCCTCAGTACATACATCATGCCACTGTACACCAACGTGTCACTTTACACACCATGTCACTGTATATACACTATATAACTGTAAATTCTTCTTGTCACTGCACACTCACCATGCGTCTGTATACTCAACATGTCAATGTACACTCATAATGTCACTGTACAATCATCATGTAACTGTACACTCATAATGTCACGTACGCACATCATATCAATGTACACACATCATTTCACTGTACAGTCATCATGTCACTGTACACTCATCATGTCACTGTACACTCATCATGTCACTGTACACTCATCATGTCACTATACACTCATCATGTCACTGTACACTCATCATGTCACAGTACACTAATTATGTCACTGTACAATCATCAAGTAAATGTACACTCATGTCACTGCACCCTCATCATGTCACTGTACAGTCACCATGTCACTGTACACTCATCATGTCACTGTACACCCATAACGTAATTATACACTCATCATGTCACTGTACACTCAAAATGTCACTGTACACTCTTCATGTCACTGTACAGTCACCATGTCACTGTACCCTCATCATGTCACTGTACACCCATAATATTATTATACACTTATGTCACTGTATACTCATTATGTCACTTTACACTCATGTCACTGTACACTCATCATATCACTGTTCAGTCACCATGTCACTGTACACTCATGTCACTGTACTCACATAATGTAATTATACACTCATCATGTCACTGTACACTCCTTATGTCACTAAATATTTTTTTTGTCACTGTATACACACACCAAGTCATCGTACACTCTTTATTTCAATGTACACTGTTCATGACAATGTACACTCTTCATGTCACTATACACCCATTAAGTCACTGTACACCCACCGTGTCACTGTACACCCATTATGTCACTGTACACTCATCATGTCCATGAACACTCTTCATGCCATTGTAAACACATCATGTCATTATTTACTAATCATGTCACTATACACCCATTATGTCACTGTACACTCATCATGTCACTGTACACCCATCGTGTCACTTTACACTCATTATGTCAATGTACACTCTTCATGTCACTATACACTCATTATGTCACTATAAGTTCATTATGTCACTATACACTCATTATGTCACTTTACACTCATTATGTCACTATATACCCATCGTGTCACTGTACACGTATCTGGATCTCAAAGTAGCTGTCAGGTAGTTTGGTGTAGGGCGTAAATCAATCCCCTAGTTCAAGCTTCAAGGTAAGTCGGTCAAGTAATAGAAACCAGGCTAAAGGCAAATGATACACAAATGGTTCAGTATTTAAGCGAGTAGACATAAGCTAATAAGTCCCGTTCCAACAGCAACAAATTCAGATCGATGTATGGAAGGTGACATAGCTTGAACATCAGAGGGGAGGGGAGGCAGGGGGGACAGATGTCCCCGGGCGCAAGCTAGTTAGGGGCGCCAAAATGTGTTTTGATATTACATTATTGGTAAAAATAATGGGTTTGAGAGTTGAAAAAAGAAAAGGGGGCGCTTCAAAATGGATCTTGTCCCCGGGCGCTAATCTTGTTCCCGGGCGCCACACACACTCGCTACGCCTCTGTTGAACATGTGCATCCAATTTGTGGATAGAATATAAGTCTTGTCATTGTCGGCGAGAGCACATGTTGCTTCGCGACAAGGTTGAACCAAGCAAACATTTTAATAAATGTAGTATGGGACTTCGTATCATTATCAATCATTAAATTTACAGGTTCATAGTACACATATTGTCTTCTCGTTATAAGAGACATGGGCGATTTGGAACAACATCCTGTCATCCCCATGATGGGATGGCGGCGTGTCGTAGCCCGCGGCTAAAGCAATAACAGAATTGGTAATATCAATATAATGTAATATAGGCATTATTAGAATAATATCAAACACGATCGAATATTAGCTACATAGTTATATAAACAATGCAAGTGCAATAACCTAATATCAAAATCATGGTTGCGTACTTACTAGTACTCTAGGTAGCAGTCGCAGTTAATGATCACGCTGCTAAAGTTCTAAGTCTAGATACTCCAGCGTCCACGGTTAAGTGATCAGACCTTAAAGACATATACTTGATAGAATCCTAGGTCGCAGTTATAGATCACACTACTGAAGTCTCTAGTGTAGTTATCTTCAGCATTCACAGTCAAGTGATAATGATAACGCTATGAAGCCTCTAGGAAGTTATCTTCAGCGTGCACATTCAAGTGATTACGCTATGAAGTCTCTAGCAAGTTATCTTCAGCGTCCACTGTCAAGTGATGATGATCATAAAAGAAAAATTCTTGCTTGTTCTGGCTATTTATTCGCATTGGGTGATAATTCAATTGGATTTAAATGTTGTATGTTTTCCCATCCAATGACAATCACTTACGATGTTGCTACCCTCAAAGCTTAACGGGCTGAGGTGAGAAATCCAAATTCACGCTACAGCGTGAGTTTTCTGATGCATAAATGCAATAACAACAAGGGACGATACTCCGCTTTGCTGTCTACAGGGCAAAAATGAGGGGCGGTATGGTATTATTTTCTCAAGGTTCATCGATGAGAGGGTTGAACACAAATTCCATGCTTTTTGGGGTGAGCGAACTGATGTGGAAATGTGATAACACCAAGGGGAGTCACTCGTGCTATGCGACTGCGGGGCAACTTGAGGAGAGGGAAAGGTATTATTTTATAAGGGTTTCCAAGGGCGGATTTACATCATCATCATCATCATCATCAACAAGGGCACTACAGCCCATGTAGGGCCCTGGCCTGCTCCACCACATCCTTCCATTCGGAGCGATCTATGGCTTTCCGTCACCATGCTCGAACCCCCAACTGATGTAAATCTGTCTCCACATCATCAATCCACCTCATTCTTGGGCGACCGATGAGTCGTCTGCCCCTAGGCTTTTGCCTGTATATAATTTTGGCTGCTCTGCATTCCGGCATCCTTTCAACATGACCTGCCCAGCGTATTCTGCCTTTTTTATCATTGTGACTATGGATGGTTCTTTGTACAAATAGTAAAGTTCTTGGTTTGTACGTATTCTCCAGATATCATTTTCTATCACTGGTCCGTATATTTTGCAGAGGATTTTCCTCTCCCATGTGTTGAGCAGGCGGATTTACGGTGGACTAATTGTACAAAGTCCAGCCTCACATCGTCACTGTACACTTATTATGTCACTGTACACTAAACACGTCACTGTAAACTCAACATGTCACTGTACATTCACCATTTAACTGTACACTCACCATGTCCCTGTACACACAATCTGTCATTGCACACTCAACATACTACGCAACACAAACAATTCGAATATCTATTATCACAGACTTTCAGTACAGACGTTTTATACAAATGGACGTCTTGATATGGAAAATATTATGTAAAAGGAAATAAAAGTGTTAAGTTTTATTTTTTTTAAGAATAGAAAAAATCAACAAAAGGATGTGGGCGTCATGAATTATTTGAATTGATAATATCGATAATGTTTGTTGTGACGTGTGTCTATAGTTTGACTGCAACTCAAGCATGTCGTTAGATGTCTACCACCGCCCGCATTCGCTTTTTAATTATTTTAAATTTGAGAATGAAAACAAATATTGATACATTATAATTTATAAGACATGTAATAATAAACATCCATTGTATATGCCAGGTCGGAAGCCTAAGTAACGATTTTATTTGTGCTGCAATATATTTGAAAAAAAATGCTAATATCTATTCTCCTAAAGATAAACTCGCATCCAAGAATATTTCTGAGACCCTCGGGGCTGTACTCGCCAAGCAGCTGATAACACTCCCAAAGACAGACAGATCGACACAGACCAATTGGAAGTGGCGAGTCATGGCGGAAAGGTGGCGAGGGGCAAAACTGATTGCTCCCAAGGAAAAAACACAAGAGGCAGCTGGTGTAAAGAAGTCACAAGTTGTTTTCAAACTAGAGAAAGCTGGAACAGAAGCAAGTGAGTTGAGTGGCTGCCAGTGGTTGTTTTGTGTGGCTGTCATCGGTTGCGTAATAGGACTGTCAATGGTTAGGTAGTCTGGCAGTCAGCGATTGCGTAGAGTAACTGTCAGTGGTTGGGTAGTTGGTCTTTCAGCGGTTGGATAGTTTGGCTGTCAGTGGTTGGGTTTGGTTATGTTGTTTTCAGCGATTGGGTTGTTTGGCCGTTAGTGGCTTTGTTGTGTTACTGTCTGTGGTTGGATAGTTTTGCTGTCAGTGGTTGGGTTTGGTTATGTTGTTTTCAGCGATTGGGTTGTTTGGCCGTTAGTGGCTTTGTTGTGTTACTGTCTGTGGTTGGATAGTTTTGCTGTCAGTGGTTGGGTTTGGTTATGTTGTTTTCAGCGATTGGGTTGTTTGGCCGTTAGTGGCTTTGTTGTGTTACTGTCTGTGGTTGGTAGTTTGGCTGTCAGTGTCTTTGTTGTGTGATTTTCTGTGGCAGGGTAGTTCGACTTCAGCGGTTTGGCATGGTGGCTGTCAGTATTTTGATTTTTTGGCTGTCAGTGGTTGCGTATTTTGACAATAATTTTTTGGGTTGAGTTGCTGTCAGCGGTTGAGTTGTGAGGCTGTCGGTGGCTGGGTTGGGATGCTGTCAGAGTTTTTGGATGTTACTGTCTGTGTTTGTGTTGTGTGGCGGCAGGGGCTGCGTTGTGTGGCTATCAGTGGTTGTGTTTTGAGGCTGTCAGTTGTTGGGTTTTATGGTTGTAGGGGGTTGTGTTGTGTTTCTCTGGGTTGTTGAATTATTTTGCATTTAGTCATTTGTCTTGTCTTCAAAGATGCTAGTAGTGATTGCGTTATGTTGATATATTGGGATGCGTGGTGAGAATGTCAATGATTGGGTGTGTTGATATATTGGGATGCGTGGTGAGAATGTCAATGATTGGGTGTGTTGATATATTGGGATGCGTGGTGAGAATGTCAATGATTGGGTGTGTTGATATATTGGGATGTATGGTGAGAATGTCAATGATTGGGTGTGTTGCAGTGTTTCTTTCAGGCATATATCCGTGCGGGTGAGTGGAATTCAACCCTCTCCCCCCCCCCCCCCCCC